TTCTGCTCCAGGTCAGGGAACCTTGGCTATGCTTCTCTGGATGCATCTGTCTCTCCAGATTTCAAGATGATGTTTGCCCTGTGACCTCAATTCTCTGATGGCTCCAAGGAAAATCTTGATTTTTCAGTTTGTTCAGCGTATTTTTGTTGTAAGGACAGGTGTGACATCTTCTAAGTTCTTTACATATTGGAGCTGAAACCAGAAGTTTCCTTCATTTTCATTTTTGAAAGATATTTTCACTGGGATTACAATTCTTAAGTTACAGTTTTTTCTTTGAATATTTTAAAGATGTCATTTCATTGTCTTTAGGCATTAATGGTTTCTAACAAGAATTCTGCAATGATTCTTAGTCTTGTTCCTCTGTATGTAAAGCACCTTTTCTCCACCTTCCTCTGGCTGCATTTAATATTTTCTCTTGTAAGCAATTTGATTATGATATGCCTCTCTCTGGTTTTCTTTTTGTTTATTCTCCTTGGGATTCATTGATATTCTTGGTTCTGGGAGCTTATAGTTTCTGTGATTTGGAAATTTTTCAACCATTATTTTTTCAAATAATTTTTCTATTCTTCCATCTGTTCTCTTTCTGTGACTCCAATAAGTACATCAGACCACTTAATATTGTTCCATAGGTTGTTGTGTTTCTATTCATTTTTTTCCAGATTTTTTCTGCCTGTGCTTCAGTTTGGTTAGTTTATATTGCTAATGTCTTCAAGTTTCATATTTTTTTCTGTAGTATCCAATCTGCTGTGTTCAGTGAATTTCACATACTATGTTGTTCATTCCTAAAACTTTCACTTGACTTTATATTTTCTGTTCTCTCCTCATTATGTTCATGTTTTTCTTAGAAAATTGGAACATCTCAAATATATTTTCCATTGTGTTTTTAATATAATTGTTAATTCCTTCTTCTCTGTCATATCTTGATCTCTACATATCAATTGATTTTTTTCATGGTTATACATCAAGTTTTCCTGCTTCTTCATAGGTCTAGTCGTTTTTTATTGGCTGCTGGACAGTGTGAAGTTTACACTAAGTGTTGGAGTTAGTTGTATTCCTTTAGATAGTGTTGGGCTTTGTTCCACAGTTAGCTCACTTGTGGATCAGTTTTGTCATTCCAGAGCTTGTTTTTAAAGTTTTTAAAAGGCAGATATAGATGCCAATTGGGATTCTCTGGTAGATCAGTGGTAAAGAATCCACCTGCCAAGTTGGAGATGTGGGTTCAATCCCTGGGTCAGGAAGATCCCCAGGAGGAGGAAATGGCAACCCACTCCAGTATTCTTGCCTGGGAAATCCCATGGACAGAGAAGCCTAGTGGGCTACAGTCTATGGGGTCACAAAGAGTCAGACACGATTTAGTGATACCTATGGCTGATTCATGTTGATGTTTGACAGAAAACAACAAAGTTCTGTAAAGCAATTACCCTTCAATTAAAAAATAAATTAATTTTAAAAAATACAAAAAAAGCAACAGAAGATGCTGATTTAGTCTGACTTTTAGGAAATAGTCCTGATTTCTCTACTGAGTGATCCTTTTATTCTCTGAACTCTGTTTACTTTGGTTGTTGGAAATACTAGTGATTCCTAGCTCCATGTGTGTTCTAGGAATTTTTGTCTCGCCAATCTCTGATAATTCCTTCTAACCAGAAAAATGAATTCATTGGAGAAGCTGGAGAGCGATGGATGCACTACTAAATAGAGTAGGAACTGGTATATGAAAATAGTTTGTATTTACCTGACTTGGGAACTCTTTTGTCTCCCTTTTGATTCTAAGAAGGCTCTAGTAAATATACATATGATGCTCACCTCCTCACTTTACACTTTCTCTTAAGTATGAACCTAGGGCAATCCCCTATCCTCCAAGGGATCTTCCCAACCCAGGGATTGAACCCAGGTCTCCTGCATTGCAGGCAGATGCTTTACCATCTGAGCTACCAGGGAAGCCCTGTTTCAATTTAGAGAGGCCCAAACAGAAGATTCTTAGATTTTTGGTATCCTGTTCTACAATAGGGAGAGGTGGCAAAGTTGCTGATTGAAAACTTCACTGAACTCCAGATGTCAGGGTTCTAGAGCTGGCTCTTCTATTCTCTGTCGGACTGAAAACTCCCATGATCCCTCCCTCTAGTACTCTTTGGGTTAAATTATCTTCAGTCATTTTCAGCTCAGCCTATGATCCTAATATAGAACAGAGGTCAGATTTCTGGTACTCTCAGTGACCCCAAATTAGAGGGCAGTAGGTAAATATTCTGGGCATTATAAATCAGGTAAAAGACCAGAGTCCTCTTTTTCTTTAGCCTCCAGTGAGTTCAAGTACAAATTGCCTTCTCTGTGCTCTACACTATAGTGAAGTTTCCCATGGGTGGCTGATATGCATCCTGAATTGCTCCCTGGAATTTATCTATCAATTCTAATTTATATTTTACCTGATCTCATTACTGTGTTTCTTTCTTTCTCAATTTTATTTCTTGTCTTACTTTGCTGTATGGATTCTTGTATGTTACATCAAAATCTTTACAGAGCATGGTGCTGGTGGTAAGAAATTTTAAAATCCTTAAATGAGGAATCAATGAAAACAGATGCAAAAAAGTACCATAAACATGTAACATATGACATTCAGATAATGTATTTAAATTTATAATTCTTAACAAATTTATGTGTCTTTCTCTGAAGACAGCAAATGAAAAGTCTAAATTGGAAGGTGAATGGAAGAATGATAGAGACAGGACAAAATAGCAGCAGCAAGAGGTGACCATTTATGTTTCATATTAGATGGAGAAGAGAGATCCTCAAAGAGATAGGAAACTGCCTCGTGTTTTATAGCTTCTCACCCAAGTTGATTTCAGTATGACGACATCTCATCATGAAGACTAAACAGTTATCACTACTGTTTTGCTTGAGAAGGCAGGGAAGAAATACATTTTTTGTTTGAGACTGAAATTTTTACTGTAATGTGAGTTCACTTCTCACCAAAATCATGGAAAAATACATTCTTTTGATTTGCTTGGCAGATGCATTTCTAATGCAACTGAGAGGTTACGGTAACAGAAGTGCCATCAGTGATCCACTGCCTTCAGAACTCTACAAAGAATTCTGAATATGTCACAGGTCCTGGAGGAAGGATTTTTCCATACCAGCCTTCCTGACATTTGAGGTCTGATCTTCTCATCTGTTTTCTTAATGTGGCATGAATGGGATTTCTGCCCTTTAGCACAGCTCAGATGTCTGATTGTGGCCCTTCTGTCTTCTTGGATTCCATAGACACTTATCAGACTGCAACTGAGTTACCTTCCTGTGTTCTGATTTCTCTTTCCTTAGTTTCCACAGCTGTGTGCTGGAACCTGGTAGATTAGAGGCCCTCATCACTGAGCACATCTACATACCTAGAAACTTCCTCAAGAGCTGAGTCTTTGGGGCACCTCTCAAAGTGACACCTCTGCTCTGCCGGCTTACTTGAGATGAGAGTCCATTTGTTCCTAGAATGTCCTTGCTTTGTTCTTTGCTCAAAGACACTCCCTTTAACACTATGTAACTAAGTGACCTATGCCTTAGTTCAGCCATAAGATTCTCTCAGCCTTGCTTAAGATAAGGAGGGATGCTCTCAGGATGGGAACTCCATCTGCCCAATCTTTATAAAGTCTTTTTTTAAAAATTTACCTGTTAAACTTGATTTGCCTTATTCTAATCTGAGTGCCTCATCTCTGGGCCCTTGACTGAAACAAAAACCATTAACAGTGGGTTAGAATTTCTTCGGATTTCACTTAATGAATGTTCAGATTCTGAAATTTGTTTTAGATTCATTCTTCTGTATCTCAAACCTGAGTCCTTGGTGATTTTTCCTCTTTGCATTTATTAATCCTTAATGCCTGCCAGGAATGTGAAATTATATTTATTTTGTTATAAGAAAAGCAATGATGAAGCTACTAGTATTATATGTTCTACCCAGGCAATGGTATCTTTTGGGGAATCAAATTCTGATTTATGTATAACATTTAGCATATAGGTAATAATTTGACTTCAAATATTAGAATATATGTTTCATAGCATAATTTAAATATTTTAAAATAAAGCTAAATCAATTTATTTTTTCCCATGTAATTCGGAAGGTACTTTAGGATTTTTTCCATTGTTTTTCAGTCACTAAGTCATGTCCAACTCTTCACGACCCCACGGACTGCAGCATGCCAAGCTTCTCTGTCCTTTACTATCTCCCAGAGTTTGCTCTAATTCATATCCATTGAGTTGGTGATACTGTCTAACAATCTCATCCTCTGCCACCCTCTTCTCCCTTTGCCTTCGAGCCAACAATGAGTTGGTTCTTCCCATCAGGTGGCCGAAGTATTTGAGCTTCAGCTTCAGCATCAGTCCTTCCAATGAATATTCAGAGCTGATTTCCTTTATGATTGGTTTGATCTCCTTGCTGTCCAAGGGACTCTCAAGAGTCTTCTCCAGCACTTTTTTCCATTAGCTAAGTTTATTTTGAACATTATCATGGTATTCCTGAAGTAGCTAAAAGTTTTATTTACAAGACTTGGAAGAAATAATATTGTAATCTTTTTTAAAAATGAAATGTATTCTGGCAGTATTTTGGCTGGAATACATTTCTGAGTTAGATATGAGAAATAGAGGGAAAAGAATGCACTCAGCTGGGATTTAAGGAGAAATCGTTTTCCTTTTCCTTTCTCTGTGGGCAAGAAACATGAGATAAAAATAATCAGAATAAGGTCCTTAGGTATCGAGAATTTATTAGAATCAGAGCACTTACTAATTCAGAGCAAATGAGATCTATAGATCGTTAATTGCAGCTTGGTGTCTTTTATAAGAATGCCTCATGTAGTGAGCACATTGTCCCTTCACTAAATAAGTAGTGATTATCTGGGAGATTACTGTGATTTATAAGCTCATTTTCTTCATTTTACTTTACATGTGCCAGACACTGACTCATTCAATAGAAAAGCAAAACAAGCCTGAATTTTTAGAAATTAAATGCTTTATTGATTATTGTTATTCTCACCAGAAAGTTATAACATATGGGATTGTTCAACATGTAGTATATAAGAGTGAGCACTTTTGATGAACATTAAAAAGACACTCAGTTGTTTTACTTTATTCTACCTACATATACACATATATATGGAAGAAATAAAACTATGTTGTATTAAAAACTATTACATATGAACCCAACCATGCCTCTTAATTTTTATTAAAATACTTGTCACTGAAATAAAGTATACTTCCCCAGCTCAAAAAAAAAAAAAATAACTTTACTGCAGGCTTTTCCCCAGCTCAAAAAAAAAAAAATAACTTTACTGCAGGCTTTAGGTGATAAACCCTGATTTTGGAATACTACATTCCTGCCAGAATCTAAAGAATGCTCCCCAAATGGAGTAAAACAGTATTTGTTGTTATGGGAGGAGAGATGATTTTCTTGGAAAAAGATTCTAACTTTATCCTGAAATATACCCTTTTCAGACAAGTGTGACCTCTACAGTAACCTGAAGAATTTTATGTCTTCCAGCTTTAAGTTGAAAAAGAGCCAGACACTAAAGTGTGATGAGTAATCAGAGAGTATGATGCACAAGCAACATGTTACTCCTTGTTTTTCGGTAAATGGTTTTGGTAGCTTCAGATATCAAAGGAACTGACTAGATCCTGAAGTTATTCATACATGCAAAGTTAAGTGGAGAACTTACACAATTATTCTAATTGTTGAGAGGCAGTAAAACATGATGCCAAGAGCTTGGGCTCTGCAGCCAGACTGCCTAGATTCTCATCATGGGTCTGCCGGTATGGTCTTGGGCCATTTACTTAGGCTCTCTGTGCTTGCTTCTTCAACTGTGAAATAGGGACGTTACCATCACCTAGTTCACAGGCCTGAATGAGTTAATACGCATACGCTAAACGGTGGCAAACATAAACGGTAAGTGCTAGCTGTTACTATCATTCAGACAAAAGGAATATGTATACAGATTCATGGGCTGGTTTTTGTTGATCAAGGTGTACATTACTTTGGGAATTTGAACATTAAAAAAAAACATTTTGAAGTAGTCTGTTAATTTATAGGTAATGGTGTAGTGACGGGAAATGTGATAGAGTGAGAAAGGAATCTACCATTTTTTGAAGAGCCCTTATAGATACCCTGAAGTAAAACAAACAAGGGTTTACATTCTAGCTCTGTTCCTTGCTGGTTTGTCAACTTGAGAACATTGTTTAATCTTAAATTTTTCCACCTGGTAAGGAGTGGGGGGCAGTGCTACCTTACACTGTTGTAAGCATTTGCAATAATGAATATAGAATTTTTAGCATAATGCTGGTATATGATAGGAATCAAGCAATAATTTAGTGGCTGTCTTTGAACAGCTTGATTAGTAGAATTCTATCTCACCCAAATAGCTCTCTCAAAGTCAGGGAAGGGACCTGGGGAAAAGTCAATTCACTACTTTTCTTTTTTTTTTTTTTCCCTTTCTGCTTTGAAAGTGAGGAACACTTGTGATATATGAGTTTCAGAAGCCATTCCATGGGTAGACCCAGGAGTCATTTCAGCAGGATTTTAGAGACACTTCTCAGTTGAATTACCCGATGTTCAGGGCAGGCACTGGGGTACAAATCTCAGTTCCCGTGGTACAGAGCTGTTGAGTCAGGATGCAGCATGGTATTCTGAAAGAGCATCAGGAGAGAAGAAAGTCAGTCATGTGGCTCTCAAGAAGCACAGGTCCCATAGAAGTCAATGTTGAGCAAAGTTGCAAATTTGAGTAGGCAGAAGATGTTGCTGACTTATTTCAGAGGCTTAGCAAAGTAAATCAGCTATATATATACACATATACACATATATTCACCCTTTTAATATTCTTTTCCCATAATTTGTCATTACAGAGTGTGGAGTACAGTTCCCTGTGCTGTATAGTAGGTTCTTGTTAGTTTCATATTTTATATATAGTAGTTCCACAGTACTTTAAACAGGCCCCTGGAGTCTGCAAAGTGCAAAGCATTAATGTAAAGCTCTAAGTGCTTCTGCTGTCTAATTTGTTATCATGGAGTAGCCAAGTAATATTTCTGGTGAGCAACAAGGATCCTTAAGTTTAAGTGTGTAGAGGTAGGTTGACAGTGTTTTATGTGGAAATTCTGTTCTCTGAATTTCATTAAAGTAAATCATGGCCTGATTATCCTACCTCTAAAGGAAACAGAAAAATTAAGGGAAATAATATCCCCAAGTTGCAAACAAGATAAAAACAGAGATGTCTCTATTACAAAGCTATGCCAAAAAATTTCATATTTAACTACTTATTTTTAGGACCACAGGACAGAAATTATATCTTAGATACTTAAATTAGTATATGAAGGTTGGATTTTTGAGCCTAGTAAAGTCAGGATTTGATTCTATCAAACTGATTACTCTTCAAGGCTACCTCAAAGGTGAAACATTTTATATCACACTCAGTTATTTGATTTCTAAAATTTCTATGTATGTCACAGGATTTGTTTACCATCAGGAGAAATGGGAAACAGTTTGGGACCAATTGCATATTCTCTTTAATCATGTAGTAAGTTGCTTGTTTGGTTAACAAAAAGAATCCCTCTTATCTACTCTGGCAAGTCTTGCTTGGATCCAGTAGCATTTTTACATCAGGTAAGTGTCTCATTGGATTTTTAAATTTGTGAGTGAGGAAATAGTTAAATTGAAATTTGAAATATTCCAAGGACATATTTATCTTTTTTCTAAGTAGTGAAACAGTGACATATTTTGAAATGGGAGATTAGCTTGTTAGTCACTTCATACTTTTGTTTCCAAAATCTTCTTGCCATGTTTGGTAGTTTTTAAACCATCTCATTGAGTTGGAGCAGCCATACAACCCAGCTCCATGTAAAAACCTTAGAATATTTTTTTAAATGCTCAGGATCATACCATCTTAAATCAAAATGTACAATTATTTACATTAAAATTTTTTTCTTCTTTCTTTTCAGGATCTTTCCACATGCATATGTGCTCTTTATATTAAAAAAAAATTTTTTTTTTTGGCCACACCGTGCATAGCCTGTGGGATCCTACTTCCCAACCAGGAATTGAACCTGTGCTCCCTGAAGTGGAAGCATGGAGTCCTAACCACTGGACTACCATGGAAGTCCCAATATTTACATTTTAATCACACAGTTACATGAATATATTTTCATTGGAAAAATTCAAATGCAGAAATATATAGAGTGAAAAATGGAAGTCACTCTTTACTTACTCTTCTCCTCTTAAGTCTCATAATCCTTATTAGGTCATCCTTAATCATTCTTGGCTTAGCTGGTAAAGAATCTGCCTGCAATGTGGGAGACCTGGATTCGATCCCTGGGTTGGGAAGATGCCCTGGAGAAGGGAAAGGCCACCCACTCCAGTATTCTGGCCTGGAGAATTCCATGGACTGTATAATCCATGGGGATGCAAAGAGTTGGACAGGACTGAGTGACTTTCACTTCACTTCACTTAACCATTCTTAAAGGCTTAATATGCATCCAATTAATTCTTTAAATAATTTAATATACATATACACACATACAAACACAAATAAAATTTTAAGCTATACCAATGGGGCAACACATTTTCTTCACTTAATATGGTTTTGACATATTTTTCCTTTGAAATCTGTCTCATTTTAAAAACTGCTACATAGTATTTCAAAATATATATGGAGCATAAGATAGTTAACCACTCCTCTATTGATGGACATTTAGATTGTCTGATTTTCTATTCTTATAAATAATATTGAAGTGAGTATCCTTGAATATATGTATTCTTTTCTAGAATAGATATTTAGAAGTGGAATTGTTGGGTGAAATCTATCTTCTGCTTAATTAAATTTAGATTAGATTGAAACTGTCAACTTCTCATTTAAAATACTATAAAGTTTATGCTCCCAGCAGTAGTGCAAGAGAGTATCATTTCCACATACCACTGCCAACACTGACTATAATAAATCTTTTAATATTTTGCTTATCTGATGGGCCAAAAGGATAGAAATTGTTTTTCTTACTTGATGATAATAATATATTATTTTAATCACAGACTCAGTTTGCAAATATTTACTTAAAATTTTCATTGATACTTATAGCAGTCTTATGTTTTTTTATTTATTTATTTTTAATTGAAGGAGAATTGCTTTACAGAATTATGTTGGTTTCTACCAAACATCGGCATGAATCAGCCATAGATTACCTATGTCCCCTCCCTCTCGAACATCCCTCCCACCTCCCTCCCCACCCCACCCTCTAGGTTGTTACTGAGCCCTGGTTTGGGTTCTCTGAGCCATACAGCAAATTCCCAATGGCTATCTATTTTACATATGGTAATGTATGTTTCCACGTTACTCTCTCCATTGGTCTGATATGGTAATGAGGTTAAATTAAGCTTACAGTATAATTTGAGAAGATTTTCTTATTTTCCTATGATCGGGAACTGTACAAAGTACAGGAATATTTCCTTTGTGAAACCTTTTCTGCCTGGTGACTTCTGTCATGGTAGGTTTTTAAATTTCTTTCATGATTATCAGTGTCTTGATGTTTTTTATCTCAAGCCTATTTCGGTAACTAACTTACATAGTTTAGAAAATCATTCAGGTCATCTTGCTTTCAAGTTTATTAAGTACAAAGTGATACATATATTTTTTAATAATTTTATTTAGTATTATCTCTATCTCGTTACATTTTCATTTCAGAATCCAAGTGTGTATGTGTGTTATCTTTTTCTTAGCTATGTTTTTGCTACTGAATTAACTTTTTGAAAAAACTAGACTTTTTTTTTCTTTTTGTGGTTATTTTCTAATTATTTTAGCTTTTATTTCTAAAACTTGTTTTTCATTTTTGTCAAAGTCACATATGCACATAGTTTAAAGAATCAAGCAGGTCTATAAGGCATGTTATAAGAAACATGGAGTCCCCCTGCTAGTAAGAAATATTCTTACATAATATTCTTACATAATATAGGTAAGAAATATTCTTACTCTCGTGTTTTAGAAGATTCATTTGATATTATCTCTGTATCTCTATATAGTGTGTGTTTGTGGCTACTTCTTGATGTCTCAATTTCAAGCTTTATCAACTGACTTCCCTTTGTATATAAGGAAGAATTAATTTTCTGCCCACCTACTCCTAATCTTTATCACCCCTCCCCTCCATTTTCCAACCATATTCCCAGGCTCCTGATTTGTTCTTGTTTTGCTTACATGAATATTTCGGGTTTGCATTATTATGACTAAATCAGTGGTTTTCATATTGGCTGCCCATTTAAATCACTTGGGGAGCTTAAAACATAAATACTGATGCCTATTATTGATTTAATTGTCCAGATGTGGTTTGGGTATCTGAAGTTTTAAAAGCTCCTTAGATGGTTCTAATGTCTGTGGAGTGTTGAGAACCAAGGAAGTGTTATTCACAGTTGATTACTCAGTTTAACTTTCCTTTCTAGAAAACTTTTTAATTTGCCTTGGAGCTATTATCTTTCTATGTTTGCTTCATTTTCTATATTCTTATCCCTAAATCAACCCCAAATTCCTCCCAGTATATTCATGTTTGTCAAGTGTTCATTCAGTGTCATCTTCTGGAAGAGATCACTGTGGTAGCCTTCAGAACAGTTCTTGCCTTACCGAGCTGGGCTCTAAGCTATTCCTATTGTCATCTCAGTATCTTACTTGACTGGCCTCCTGAGAATTCCTTTCTCCTCTCTTGCTTTGGCTCCTGGTTTTCTGGATCCCATGTCTTCCTGTCCTCTTGGTTTACTACCTCATTATGATAGAGCACCTCTCTTAATGACTTCCCTAGAGAGAAGAGTTCATAGAAGGTGACTTTTTAGAAATTATCTTTATAATGATAAATTAGCTGGCTATACAGGTGTTGGTTGGAGATAATTTTTTCTTCAGAATTTTAAAATAAAATGCCTCCTTGTCTTCAGATTTCCAGTGATGCCACTGAGAAGTCTGATGTCATTCTGATATTTTATGAGAACCTATTTTTCTCTTGCTCTCTCTGAAATCTTTGAGGATCCTCTCTACTCAGTGTTCTAAAATTTCCTGATGATGTGACATGAAAAGGATCTATTTTTATCTACTGGTGGATCCTTTCAATCTGGAAACTCAGGTCTTTCAGTTGTGGGAAGTATTTTTGGATAATGGTTTTGATGATTTCTTCCTCTCCATTTTGTCTCTTCTCTTATTGGGGTGTTAGACCTCTTGGAAGTGTCCAGCTATCATTTAACTTTTGTTTCCAAGAGCTCTTTTTAATTCTTGAAATGTTTCTTCTGTAGCATCCTTCTTTCCCTTGTATAATCTATCCATTCCAACTTTTGCTTTGCTTTCCCCCCACCCCTGTGTGTGTGTGTGTGTGTGTGTGTGTGAGAGAGAGAGAGAGAGAGAGAGAGACAGAGAGAGAGAGACAGAGAGAGAGAGACAGAGATATTTAGAGGTCTTCTAATGTCTAGGGCATAACAGTCTAGCACTAAAATGCTCATCAGGGTATTTCTTTGCAGATAGCTGAGACTTGTTGAGTATAGCTTCCGGCTGGACCTTTCTGTAGAGAAACTCCACAGTGTCATTCTATTGAGTATATTTTTTCTTAGTGGTCAGAGTTCCTAGAAAAATACTCCTTCACTTCCCTGCTGGGTGGGGAAGGAGGGGTGGTAGTGG